CTGGGTTCAGGCAATTCTCCTGCCTCAGCCTCCTGAGTAACTGGGATTACAGGCACGCGCCACTGTGCCCAGCTAATCTTTTGTATTTTTTTTTAGTAGAGACGGGGTTTCACCATGTTGACCAGGATGGTCTCGATCTCTTGACCTCGTGATCCACCCACCTCAGCCTCCCAAAGTGCTAGGATTACAGGCGTGAGCCACCGCGCCTGGCCCACATATAGCTATTTTTCATAAAATATGCTTGCTAACATAAAATGGGTTTGTTATTTCTAAATGAGTTAGCCAGTTTTTTTTACTATATAATATGGTAAATGTCAATAGTTATAACCTACAGAAAAAAAAATCTTTGGATCTCAAAGCTCCACCACCTAACCTGCTGTAGATCAAGGCTCAAAAGAGAGCTCCCTGAAAAACTCCATGGCGCTTTGTTCACAGAAGTTGTTTTTTTTTTTTTTTTTTGAGACGGAGTTTCGCTCTTGTTACCCAGGCTGGAGTGCAATGGCACGATCTCGGCTCACCGCAACCTCCGCCCCCTGGGTTCAGGCAATTCTCCTGCCTCAGCCTCCTGAGTAGCTGGGATTACAGGCACGCCCCACCATGCCCAGCTAATTTTTTGTATTTCCAGTAGGGACAGGGTTTCACTATGTTGACCAGGATTGTCTTGATCTCTTGACCTCGTGTTCACGGAAATGTTATGTCAGGACAGCATATTTCATTTTAATGACTGTCACTGCTGGCATCCACATTGTAATGCTCAAATTACGCTCTGCATCACTTCACTACTTTACAGGCATGTAAGCGGGCCTGGCATAGTGGCTCACGCCTGTAATCCCAGCACTTTGGGAGGCCAAGGTGGGGGTGGATCATCAAGTCAGTAGTTCGAGACAGGCCTGGCCAAGATGGTGAAACCCAGTCTCTAATAAAAATACAAAACTCAGCCGGGCACAGTGGCAGGCACCTGTACTCCCAGCTACTCAGGAGGCTGAGGCAGGAGAATTGCTTGAACCCGGTGGTTCAAGGCAGAGGTTGCAGTGGGCCGAATTCATGCCACTGCAGTCTAGCCTGGGTGACAGAGCAAGACTCTGTCTCAAAAGGAAAAAAAAAAGTGTAAGTGGGTCATAAGACCAGAAGATTTGAGAACTGCTGCCTTAGGGTATACACCACACTAAAAATGTTCATTTATGTTCAAATGACTATTTTTCAAAGTATTTGGAGTATTCCTTTCTGTACACTTATGATCTTGATATACAAATCCATTTACTTCATTTTGCTGTTGATATTTAGGGTTTGGACCTTTTAATATTTGACTCTACCATTACATAAAATATTGTTATATAATCCCAAGGTCAAATAAAATCATATCCAAAGATATCTTTCTCCTCCATCCTCACAGCGTCTCTTACCTTAGAGTAATAATTTTAAATATTATGAAAGAGCCTTCTGTTGTTTATTATAAGTATATATGTTATGTATTCTTAATACGCTTCTATTAGATAAACAGTAATGTACTACATAACAATTTTCTCTATCTTGCTTATTTCACTTTTATATATATTAGAGATCATTTATAACAGGGAAATTTTCCTCCTTCATTATTTCCCAGCTGCAAAATACTCTGGATTTTTTTCCTTTGCAGATTCTTGGTGTGTAGTTCCTCCTTGTCTTGAAAGCTGCCTGAGAGTTTTGAAGAAGTTCAGAAAATGCCACCTCAAAATACGTCACTGAAGGCACTTAGGAAACAGCAAATACATGGTGTAACTTTCTCTGAATTCCCCATATTTGCAAACAGACAGTCCCTCCAAAAGGAACTCGAGTGTCATCTGTCCCCTCCCAATCAATCTCATCACCCAGAGAAGATTAATTTGTATCACAGGGGAGGAGACTCGAAATTGATATCATACAAGACAAACTTTGTTACAGACAGTCATCTATTCTTTGGAGGACCCATTCATCTTTCCCCAAAATAATTTCCTCTCCCCTACATTGCCTACGTCCCTCTTCCTCTCTTCCCTCTGAGAGTATATAAACTTCTAGATCTCAGGGGATTTGGGGGCATTCACTTCTGTTTCATGTGATAACTCCATGCACAAAGTAAATTTTTTTCATCTTTTATTAATCTGCCTGCTGTCAATTTATTTCATACACTTAATTATCAAACCCTCAGAGGGCAGAGAGAGTCTTCCCTCCCCTACAGTTTCAATCAGATTGTTTTCTAGTTGTTTTAAGCATCAGGGTTGATCTAAGATGTCTAGTCTACCCTTATTGAAAATAATTACTGAAAATAGAATCGATAGTATAGTATTTGTTAACATGTTTTAAAAATATCAATAATTAAATTATTCTAGGACTTCCAATTCTTCAAAATGCAGTTCTATAAAATGATATACATCAGTGCCATCATACTCTCTGGTCCAGGAGTGAATTTCCCATGTAATAATTCAAATTCTCACTAATGATGTTTAAGTTAGCAAATTAGTTGCCATGTTGATTCAGTTGTGTATTGCCAAAGAAGTGAGTTGCTAAATTATGGGGAATTCAGCATTAGAGCTAGAGGAAGAGACTAAAGAACCTATTATTGAATCGGTAAATCTGCTTGAAAATTTAAACAGATCGATGACTTTTACAGTTCACATGTCTGTGAAGTCCAAAATAAAAATACAGACATTAATCGCACTACCTTATTGGTAGAAGAAATAGTAGGTACCTTAAAAAGTGCATATCATATTGGAATCAAATTTCTTGAAGGGTAGGCTAGTGGCAGAAGAAATAGTAGCTATCTTAGAAACTACATGTTTTATTTGAATCAAATCTCTTGAAGGCTAGGCATTTTATCCTGACTATATTTTTGCAGGATTCTCACCAAACAGCTTAACATTCAACCATCAAAATATGTTCACTTTACCATCTGGAACATTTTAAGCAAAACCTGTCATCTGTTCAATCACATCTTTCACTTCAGAAGGAACTTTCACTTCTGCCTTGTTTTTCAGAACTACGTATATCCACCACTTTTCACATTAAGATGATCCTTCTCAGGCCGTCATAGAACTAAGTGACATCTGCAATGAAACGACTTCACCACTTCCGTCCTCTGACAATCCTTCTATTTTTGCTGGGTCTAATTCCTAAAGAGCATCCTGACTTTCTAAGGGATGCTTCTCTCTTTCAGCTACCTTCATGTCTTTTAACGCAATTGTTGTCTCTTTCTGTCCTGGTGGTAGACTTTGGCAGTGGGCACACCCATGGAGCATAGGCTTCTACAAGGCACAAAGCGTAACTTTGGTTTTTCAGTTGTAATTTGATGGAAGTGGCAGGGCGTGGTGTCTCATGCCTGTAATGCCAGCACTTTGGGAGGCTATTCATTGAGCATCCTACCTGGAGGCCCGAAAATTGTGGTATAACCTGCAAAACGTCCAATGATACTTCAGTAGAAGAAAATAGGAATTTTACTTTAAAGAATACTTGTTTTTTTAGACAGTAACTTACTCAACGGGATTCTCAGGGTTGAACTTTAATCCGGATAAGTGAAATGTACACAATAAAACTCCTGTTTTGTGTGTTTGACATTTGTAACATAAAATACTTGGTAGCAAATACTACTGGAAATACCATAAGGCCACAATGTATCTTTTGCATAAATCAAGAAGCATTTATGAAGGCTTTAGGTTAAAACCAACTGGGCATTTCAAAACTAGAGTTAAATGAGCGTCAGTTCAGCTTAGAAAGGATGGACAGCTCTGAAAAGAATCTTTGGGGTGTGGGTCAGGACGAACCGAGTGGAGTTCCAACTGGACAAACCAGCGAGGAGCTCACTTGGAACTGGTGTACTTGGTGACGGCCGTGGTGCCCTTGGACGCAGGGTGCTTGGCAGGCACACAGCAGTCTGGATCTCCCTGGAGGTGATGGTCGAGCGCTTGGTGTAATGCGCCAGGCCTCACCCGCGATGTGCCCCAAGATATCATTCATGAAGGTGTTCAGGATCCCCACAGCTCTGGACGAGATGCCGGTGTCGGGGGACGTACCTTGTACACGTACACGAAGCAGCTCTCCTTGCGGCCGCGCTTGCGCGTCTCGCCTTAGTCATAGCCTTCTTGGAGCGCTTTTTCACGTCTGGGGCCGACTTGGCGGGGACAGACGTGCTGTAGTTTAACTGTAAAAAAGGTACAAAGGATAGGAAAAATCGGAAGGGCGCAGCAGGGCACGCCTGTAATCCCAGCAGTCTGGGAGGCGGAGGTGGGCGGATCCCCTGAGGTCAGGATTTCGAGAGCGGCGTGAGCAACATGGCGAAACCACGACTCTCCAAAAATATGTAAAAAATTAGCCGGGCGTGGTGGGGCACGCCTGTAGTCCCAGCGACGGGGGAGGCTGAGGGAGGAGCATCGCTGCAGCCAGGGAGGCGGAGGCTGCTCTCCAGCCTGGGCGACAGAGCCAGACCCTGTTTCAAAGCAGGACACAGAAGGCCGGGCGCTGCGGCTGACGGCTGCAGTCCCAGCACGTCGGGGGGCCGAGGTAGGCGCATCACCCGAGGTGAGGAATTGGAGAGCGGCCTGGCCACCTCGATGAAACCCCGCCTCCACGAAAAACTACAATAATTAGCCGGGCTGCGGTGGCTGCGCCTGGAATGGCAGCTACTCAGGAGGCTGAGGCAGGAGAATCACTGGAATCCGGGAGGCGGAGGTCTCCAGCCTGGGTGACAAGAGAGAACCTGTCTCAAATAAATCAATAAATAAAAACAAGGAAGAGTCTTGCGTAGTGCAACCTCCGCTTCACGAATTCTTACGGAAACGAGGTGATTACTGTGTAGGACTGGTGGCGCTTCTAGATGACGTCAGATGCCGCTTTGTCCAATCCAAAGACGCGTACTTAAAATCAGCGATTCCATTGGCTGAAATACAGTTGTAATTTGAGCCAATCGCACAGCTTTATTTTCGCGCCCGGTATGGACTATAAGTAGTGGAGCTCTGTCGACTTTCTCTAATCCGTTCTTCACCCTTCGCGGATCGTTTCTTCATCATGTCTGGACGCGGCAAGCAGGGCGGCAAAGCCCGCGCCAAGGCCAAGACCCGATCCTCCCGGGCCGGGCTCCAGTTCCCCGTGGGCCGCGTGCATCGCCTGCTCCGCAAGGGCAACTACGCCGAGCGGGTCGGGGCCGGCGCGCCGGTCTACCTGGCGGCGGTGCTGGAGTACCTGACGGCCGAGATCCTGGAGCTGGCGGGCAACGCGGCCCGCGACAACAAGAAGACCCGCATCATCCCGCGCCACCTGCAGCTGGCCATCCGCAACGACGAGGAGCTCAACAAGCTGCTGGGCAAGGTCACCATCGCGCAGGGCGGCGTCCTGCCCAACATCCAGGCCGTGCTGCTGCCCAAGAAGACCGAGAGCCACCACAAGGCCAAGGGCAAATAATGTCTCCACGAATCACTTTCCAGTACAACGGCTCTTTTCAGAGCCACCTACTATTTCTGCGGAAGCGCTGGGCCACTGGTTTAAGTCAGATTTGAATAAGTCATATTATAATTATTCTGAGTTTATTCATCCGGTGTTATATGTACGCGAGCCAACAATAAAGTCCAGGGCCAGAAGCAGTGGCTCACGCCTGCAATCCCTACACTTTTGGAAGTAGAGGCAGGAGACTCACTGAACTCGAAATCGAGATCTGCATGGGAAGCGTAGCGGAACGCCGTCTCTACAAAAATTTACCTGGGCGTAGTGGTGCACGCCTATAGTCCTAGGCTGAAGTGGGAGGGTTCGCTTGAGCCAGGGAGGTTGAGGCTGCAGTGAGTCGAGACCACGCGCCGGCGTGGGTGACACAAATGCCAACTGGCTCTCATCTTGAGATGTTTTAACATTTAAAATACCCAAATCGACATGTAGCTTTAAACTTGCTACTTCCACCAACCGTCTCCATTAGCGGCTGGCGCCTAAACGGCTTAAACCCGGGGAAAACTGATGGAACAGAAACTGACCAATCAGAATATAGAGCGGGCTTTTTAAGCTTTTTTTCTATAGCCAAGCTAGAAAGCATGATACGAACTCTCCAAAAGCACCAGCTGGAACTCATATACTTTAATGACCGATTGCTTTGGGAAATTGCATGGAGGGTCTAGCCAGCACCCCGGGCTCCTGCCTGCCTTTCATGACGCCATTAAGCTCAGGGAAGAAAAACTGCCCGAGATATTCGAACGCAAGGAATCTCTGCCTGCTCGTGTTTACAAACCACGTTTCTGCAAACGGCGTGTGAGAGGGCAAAGTCATTTGTGCACAGCAATTTTTTAGAGATCTGTAGGTGGCTCTGAAAAGAGCCTTTGGGGCTTGGTTGCGGTTTTCACATGCCAGCTTCCTACTTCTTTTTGGCAGCCGTCTTCTTGGCCTTTGCAGCTTTAGGTTTTGCTGCTTTCGGCTTAGCGGCTTTAGGCTTTGCTGCCTTCGGCTTAACAGCCTTGGGCTTGGCAGGGCTCTTCGTTGCCTTTTTCGGCTTGGCGGCGGCCTTGGCTTTCTTAGGACTCTTCGCCACTTTTTTGACTCCAGCCGCCGCGGGCTTCTTCGCCTTCTTCGGAGTCTTCTTCACTGCCTTTTTCGCTCCTGCAGCCTTCTTGGGCTTCTTAGGGGTGGTCCCCGCAGGCTTCTTAGCTTTGGCGGCGCCCGCCTTCTTAGCCTTGGGCTTGGCTTCCCCGGAGGCCGCCTTCTTGTTGAGCTTGAAGGAGCCGGAAGCGCCGGTGCCCTTGGTCTGCACCAGGGTGCCCTTGCTCACCAGGCTCTTGAGACCAAGTTTGATACGGCTGTTGTTCTTCTCCACGTCGTAACCACCCGCCGCTAAGGCTTTTTTAAGGGCCGCCAAAGAAAGGCCATTTCGCTCCTTGGAAGCGGCCACAGCCTTGGTGATCAGCTCTGAGACTGGGGGCCCGGTCGCTTTGCGCTTAGCCGCGCCGGCCGCCTTCTTAGTTGTCTTCTTCTTAGCCGGGGACTTCTCCACCGGCGCCGGGGTGGCTGTCTCGGCAGGAGCGGTTTCCGACATGGCTACAAGAAACTGCTAGAAGAGATTAAGCTCAAAATCCAAAGAGCAAGTTTTGCATTGCTGCTATGCTCGTGGCCCAGGGCTTATATAAGCCGGAGCTGCCCTGTGATTGGTGGAGCGTCCAATCCACCGCCCTCTGGCCGCCGCAGCTCGCGGTTGGACTCCCAAATTGTGTTTGTTAGTCCTCAAAATTTGATTAAATGCTTGAAATAACGATACAGAATTTAGTACTTTGAAGCTCCAAAGGAGGAAAACAGCCTCCAGGTTCACAGACTTGTTTGTGTTTTCACGAATCTCGTGCAATTGATGAAAGATATTTTTAAAAAATCCCTTCAGCTTTTTGTAAGACTCCATTAGACTGCGGGCATCATGTTAGTTAGTTGGGTGTCATGATAAATTTCCACTAAGTATCCGGAGAAACTTCTTTTTAAAAATTTGCCCGTGAGTTCAGGCTTTGATTTTTGCAAGAGAAAAGACAGTGTGTTTCTTGGTTTGGGCATGAACTTTGTTTCTAACTGTAGCAAGTAACACAGGCACAGGGCAGCTGGTTGCCTACAGCCTCAACTCAACCACATAGACTTGACTTTACAAACTGATTCGGTGTCCCAGGAGCTTCCATGTGCTGATGTCTTTACAGAATGGGATTGTGCAGCTTGGAAGAGTTCCACTGTCAGAGTGACTGCATTGTAGCACGAGTAATAAAAATCGCTTCAAGAATCCAACTGCACAGATTCAAATTCAAACTTACATGTGATATGTTTTCTGATTAAAGTGTTTTCTCCGTTTAGTTCCTGGGAAAATCCATGAAAATGGGGAAGAAAAATAATATAGATAATTCCGTTTAGAAAAAATTCAAATCTGTGGAAAATTATTCAAGCGCTCCCAGTGATCCTCAGATGCACAAACTGTTTTGTGACCCACGTCTCTGTCAGGTTTTCAAAATGTTTTCACTGTGCCCCCTGAATCTCCATCCACATTTAACAAGCTGCATTTAACAAGAATACTCTCTTCTATAAGCAGCTAGGATACATCAATATGAGAATGTTTGTGTGTTTAAGTGCAGACAGACTAATATTTTAGAAGAATATCTGGCTATTGACTTAAAAGGTTGTGTTGGATATTGAGAAACTTCAGATTATAGAGGTTCAGGAAAACAATGGAGGCAAATACAGTGAGGTGGAAATGAATGTGAAGTTTGCTATATATGGGAAGTGGAGGGGAATGGACAGGATTCCTGAATGATTTAAAAAAAAAAAAAAAAAAGATCAGATAATGATTTGGATCTCTAATGAAATAAACAGTCACTTATTTCTTACCACCTTGAAATGCTGTGCAAGAAAATTTAAAGTAGCCAACACAGTCCATCTTCTCTCTATGAGCTCCTGGAGGTGCTGGAAGACTATGGCCAAATCTGGGCAATGGCTTCTTTCTGTACGGCCCTCAAACTAAGAACTGTCTTTAAAAAGGTCACACATGGTGGTTCATGCCTGTAATCACAGCACTTGGGGAGACCTGGATAGGTGGGTTGCTTGAGCTCAGGAGTTCCAGACCAGCCTGGGCAACATAGTGAAACCCTGTCTCTACTTAAAATACAAAAACCATTGCCGAGTGTGGTGGCACATCCCTGTAGTCTTAGCTACTGGGCAGGTGGAGGTGGGAGGATCACTTGAATTCAAGGTATCAAGGCTGCAGTGAGCAGTGGTAGCACCATTGCACTCAGGCCTGGGAGATGGAACAAGATCCTCTCAAAAAACAAGCAAACTAACTAAAAACTAAAAAGAACATGTGGCAGAGACTAGATATGGCCTTTAAACCCTAACATATTTATTTATTTATTTATTTTTATTTTTATTTTTATTTTTTTTTGAGACGAAGTTTCGCTCTTGTTACCCAGGCTGGAGTGCAATGGCGCGATCTCGGCTCACTGCAACCTCCACCTCCTGGGTTCAGGCAGTTCTCCTGCCTCAGCCTCCTGAGTAGCTGGGATTACAGGCACGCGCCACCATGCCCAGCTAATTTTTTTGTATTTTTAGTAGAGACGGGGTTTCATCATGTTGACCAGGATGGTCTCGATCTCTTGACCTCGTGATCCACCTGCCTCGGCCTCCCAAAGTGCTGGGATTACAGGCGTGAGCCACCGCGCCCGGCCCTAACGTATTTATTATCTAGTCGTTTTGCTGTGTTATAAATTTCTCCACAGAGATGCAGATATTGCTATAGGCCTCTTACCAAACAATGCAAATTGAAAACTAAGGAAGAGGATATCTTCACAAGAAAATATTCTAACCAAGCACTTTCCACTGTTCTATACAAAAAACTTGTAAGATGCAAGAGAAGAAAGTCCCAAAACTCCATGGGTAATGGTAGCAGGGATATAATAGTAAGTGCTGATACTCATTCAGCATTTATTACGTGCCAGAAAGTCACCTTAAATATGTTCTACAGGTTTTTGTTAATTTGCCACATTTACAGCTATACAAGATGAGGCCCAGAGATAACAAATAACTTGCCAAAGGTTATACAGGTACGAAGTGGCAGCTCTGAGGTTTAAACATACAAAATGACCTCAGCTCCATTCTGGAGGGAAAATCCTTGAAGAGGTGAGGAGAGAACTATCTTCAAAGCTTGGAAGAGGCAGTGTCAAGCTGTTCCTACACCTAGCAGACAGCCACTAAAAGAGTTCTAAGTAAATTGTTGGGAAAAGCTTCTGGCCCTATGGGTCAGAAGTGGTTTGTTTTTTTTTGTTTGGTTGGTTGGTTGGATGGTTGGTTGTTTTTTTGTGTGTTTTTTTGTTTGTTTTGGTGTTTTGTTTTTTTTTTTTTTTTTTTTTTTTTTTTTTTCCAGAACCAAATCTTAAGTTTCCAAAAATCTTACAAGTATCCAACCCTTTGAATGTGAGGACTTTTTTGCTTATCTGTGATGGTGGATAGGACAAAAATTATGCACAGATCTTTTCTTCTTTCTCTTTCTTTTCTTTCTCTTTCTTTCTTCAGCTATCCTTAGTGATTATGTATTTCACGTGTGGTCCAAGACAATTCTTCCAATGTGGCCCAGGGAGGCCAAAAGGTTGGACACTGCTGCACCCGTTGCTGGGATAGACGCCTCTTTGCAGGAGTGAACCTAATATAACAAAGAAGGGAAGGCGCAAATAAGGCGCTGAGCTGGCTGAGAACACTCAGGAGAAAAATTGCCTTCACATCTCTGCCAGATATCTCCTAGGTCAAGATGTGTACTTCAAAAGGCTAAATAGCAAAATGAGGTCATGACAGTCACATATGAAGAGCACATGAGGAAACTCTAAACAGCTGGAAATACTAGACAAGTTTGGTTAGAAACCAGGAAGAGCTTTAAAATAGCACTTGAATTTTAATATCCAGACTGATTCTTGCTGAAAACAAAACAAAACAAAACAAACTCATGAAAATTCAACTTACACTTTACAACAAGCACATTGTGAAATGACAGAGAAATGTGTGTGTGTGTGTGTGTGTCGGGGTTGGGGGGGGAGGTTTGTTGTTTTTGAGACAGAGTCTTGCTCTGTTGCCAGGCTGGAGTACAGAGGCCTGATGCTGGCTCACTGCAACCTCTGCCTCCCAGGTTCAAGCGATTCTCCTGCCTCAGTCTCCCCAGTAGCTGGGACTGCAGGTGCGGTTTCACCATGTTGGCCAGGATGTTCTTGATCTCCTGACCTTGTGATCCACCTGCCTTGGCCTCCCAAAGTGCAGGGATTACAGGCGTGAGGCACTGGCCCGACCTGAAAGTTTTGTTTTTTTGTTTGAGATGGAGTCTCACTCTGTTGCCCAGGCTGGAGTGCAGGGGCTCAATCTCGGCTCACTGCAGCCTCTGCCTCTCGGGTTCAAGCAAGTCTCCTGCCTCAGCCTCCCGAGTAGTTGGGACTATAGGTGCTTGCCACCATGCCTGGCTAATTTTCGTATTTTTAGTAGAGACGGAGTTCTACCGTATTAGCCGGGCTGGTCTCAAACTCCTGACTTCGTGATTCACCCGCCTCAGCCTCCCAAAGTGCTGGAATTGCAGGCCTGAGCCACCCTGCCCAGGAAATATTTTTTAAGGTCCACTTACAGAGCTAGAAGTTAATTTCGCAGATGACAGCATGCAGCAAGTTAATGATTCCGTCTTCTGGGGCCCACATGGCTTGCTAAACATTACATTGAAACAGAACAAAAGTGTTGTGCTTTTGGTCAAAACTGTTACTTGCAGAAATTTATGGGGGTAGAAGGGCAACTTTCTTATATGCATAAGTTCCATGGTGGTCAAGTTACATAGGGTATACAAGAGCTAAATAACTTATTGTACCAACTAAGTAACTTACTCACTCTCTCCTCCCTTTTGAGTCGTCATTGTCTGTTGTTACACTGTCTCAAAATAACTTACATTGTACCAACTAAGTAACTTGTTCGCTCTCTCCTCCCTTTTGAGTCCTCATTGTCTATTGTTACACTGTCCTACAGGTGAAGTTTTTAGAGGCTGCTTTTGTTGCTGTCTGTATTTTTGAGACGCAGTCAGCTCTGTTCCCAGGCTGGAAAGCAGTGGCGCGATCTCAGCTCACTGCAACCTCCGCCTCCCGGGTTGAAACAATTCTCCTGCTTCAGGCTCCTGAGTAGCTGGGACTACCGGCGCCTGCCACCACGCCTGGCAGAATTTTGTATTTTTAGTAGAGATGGGGTTTCAACACCATCTCACGATCTCCTGACCTCACAATCCGCCCCCCTTGGCCTCCCAAACTGCAAGGATTACAGTGAGCTCGGGGCCCGGTATAGCCTGTGGTGTTTTCCGAGTTTCGCTATTGTTGCCCAGTCTGGAGTGCAATGCGGGGGATCTCGGTTCACCGCACCCTCTCCTGGGTTCTAGCAATTCTCCTACCTGAGTCTTCGGAGTAACTAGGTTTACAGGTGCGCGCCACCACACCCAGCTAATTTTGTAGTTTTAGTGGAGACGGCATTTCTCCACGTTGGCGAACCTGGTCTCGAGTTCCTGACTCTAGGTGATCTGCCCGCCTCGGTCTCCCAAAGTGCTGGGATTACAAACGTGAGCCACCCGTCCGAAGAAGACTGTTTCTTAAACACTCATACTGATTGTTCCCTTCCTTAGGGGCAGGTAGGCAAGCAGTATATACATTCCTGAAGAATAAGAACAGGAATGCTTTTCAAAACTAAATACCCTTAACAGTTAGGACTATGTTCTGCAAATGGAATGGGGTTAGCATACCAGCCTGTGACCTGACTCCTGATTTTATAGTGTTGAGCCAACACGTTTTTTACGTAACTTGCACTTAAAATGGGGCTAAGACAGTTTCAAAAGCTACAGCTTTCTTTTGGTGACAATTGAGGGGCTCTGAAAAGAGCCTTTTGGGGTGAGGAAGACTTTGTGGGCTGATATAAACAAATTTATGCCCTCTCCCCTCGGATGCGGCGCGCGAGCTGGATGTCCTTGGGCATGATAGTCACCCGCTTGGCGTGGATGGCGCACAGGTTGGTGTCCTCGAAGAGCCCCACCAGGTAGGCCTCGCAAGCCTCCTGCAGCGCCATCACCGCGGAGCTCTGGAAGCGCAGGTCGGTCTTGAAGTCCTGCGCGATCTCGCGCACCAGGCGCTGAAACGGCAGCTTTCGGATCAGCAGCTCGGTGGACTTCTGGTAGCGGCGGATCTCCCGGAGAGCGACCGTGCCGGGCCGGTAGCGGTGCGGCTTCTTGACGCCGCCGGTGGCCGGCGCGCTCTTGCGGGCCGCCTTGGTGGCCAGCTGCTTGCGCGGAGCCTTGCCGCCGGTGGATTTGCGGGCCGTCTGCTTAGTTCTTGCCATGGCTAAGTAGATCCAACTGCTCAACACAAATGAAAGAAAAAAAACCGACCATCCCGGTATTTATAGCCGCCCTCGCATTCTGATTGGACAGTAGACTGTGGCGTGTCACGTCTCACTCACGGAATTGGCTCCCAGTTGAATCCGCTGTTGAAAGGGAAACATTCCGCCTCTGCTGTGCATCAAGAAACGCAAAATGGAAACAAAAAACCCTCCAAAACTGTAGGATTTTTCAAGCATCGAAATCCTATTTCAATGTCAGCTTGAAGATCTAAACTTGCCTTACACTATTTTAACTGTTGGGCGTCACTATTATTTGACAAAAAGTTTAAGATCGTGAAAGAAAAGCGAAAAGAGTAAATTTGTAAATGAAGGCCTTGAAGGGAGTATGAAATTCGAGCCTTGCGGTATGCCAGTATTTGATTTAAACGTACTTAATGTTTTGAGGGTTGACCGACTTTCTGCGAAGGGCGATAGTGAAGCATTTTGGGCGTTGCGGACCACGCTGTCAGCTACACGGACCTTGCAGTTGAAGTAATCCATATGAGCGAAATGAATCCGGCCGTGATGCTATTGTAGCTTCTGGAGACACCAGAGGCGGTATACATTTGGTGGTTTATCAGAGGATCCGGCACTTCTAACCACTAAGTGATGCTGAAAAGGGGCACCGAGCTGCAGAAACTTTGGCGACTGTTTATGTAAAACCGCTATTTTGACGAAAACTGCCAAACGTTTAGGTGTAAGGAAATCAAGTCTACAGCTCTTTCACAGATTTCATGGGTGGCCCTGAGAAGGGCCTTGAGGAACGGGATAAGCAAGTGGAACGCTCAGCCGCCGAAGCCGTACAGGGTGCGGCCCTGGCGCTTGAGCGCGTACACCACGTCCATGGCGGTGACCGTCTTGCGCTTGGCGTGCTCCGTGTAGGTCACGGCGTCCCGGATCACGTTCTCCAGGAACACCTTGAGCACCCCGCGGGTCTCCTCGTAGATGAGGCCGGAGATGCGCTTCACGCCGCCGCGGCGAGCCAGGCGCCGGATGGCGGGCTTGGTGATGCCCTGGATGTTGTCGCGCAGCACCTTGCGGTGGCGCTTGGCGCCGCCCTTGCCCAAGCCCTTCCCGCCTTTGCCGCGTCCAGACATGTTCTGTTCTAAGCAGAAGGCGAGAAAGCGACCTTCGCAGCAGCGCTTTATATAGTGATAAATCGGACCTGATTGAGAACTCTCCACTCCAGCTGCATCCGGTCACTCAATTTACAGACCTTGAGCCCTGCCCACGACTTCAGGAAAACATAGAAAGGGCGGTGCTTAAACTCGAGATTCTAAAAACGAAGCCCAATTAAAAATACTCTGTTCACCTTGCCCTTCCACGGTGTGTTGCGCTGAGCACCGCTGCAGGGATATTCCTTTGAGTCTTCGCTGTCTGTTTTCCCTGTCACCTCTAAGCATCCATTGCTCTGGTGCCTTGTGGCTGCTGGAACCTAGTGGCGCTCTCTCTAGAGGGGTAATCACAGTGGCTTCGGGCATTTGTGAAATCGTGTGTAGAAACTGCTTCCTACAATCTCAAAGTGATCAGCCTGTGGAGTGGCTGACTGCAAAGGCCGACGCCTGATGAGAGCTTCAAGGTGAGATTCCTCACCTTTTCTCAGATCTGGTTCTCTGTTATTTTCCTTACCTTTGGCTCTTTCTGTTTCTTTCTCTCCCTCGCTGGCCACATTTTTGGGGGAAGAACTGACTTTCTATATTTTTCCTCATTCACCTAGAAACACTTCAGGAAGCTGGTTGAGGAAGAAAGGTAGCTTTTACCCTCTATTTTCTTAAAGTGGTCGACATGCCACTTGAGCTCCCCCGTTCTTTTCTGTTGAACTAGGAAATCAGCTGTGCCCAGGAACCCTGTCTTTTAAACTTACAAATAAAGTGCAGGAGGGAGAAACCAAGGATGACTTTATTCCAATAAAAAGAGTTTCGAAGGGAGAGTCTTGGGTGACTTTCCTGACCTGTTTGGAATCACCTTTCTCTGGCCCTGACTTGCACATATATCAGATTTTCTCTGCCGACATTCACTCTTTTTCTTCCTGAACATCAGTAATGTTTACCTTTTATATTTCAAATGTGTTCGATTATTTACTTCTTTAATAATTATCTATTTTTATTCTAAAAACTCAGTCTCTCCAAGTACATTATAAACTATGTTTTCTGTACGTACAAAACATTACATACTCATGTTCTGTTAGTTAATCAATTTCTCGCTGAGCTAGGCCGGATTCTTTTCCCCCCTCTTTTAACAGTGGAACCTGGGTCCTTACCCTTGGAGGTTTAAATCCTGTATCTCTTCTGGCCCATTAATCTCAGCAATCTTCTTTTCCAACTACAGGAAAACGAGGCAGCATTCTTCGTCATTAAAATGCACTGTTCTTGTATATGTTATTTTATTTTATTTTATTTATTTATTTTGTGAGACGGAGTTTCGCTCTTGTTACCCAGGCTGGAGTGCAATGGCGCGATCTCGGCTCACCGCAACCTCTGGCCCCTGGGTTCAGGCAATTCTCCTGCCTCAGCCTCCTGAGTAGCTGGGATTACAGGCACGCGCCACCATGCCCAGCTAATGTTTTGTATTTTTAGTAGAGACGGGGTTTCACCATGTTGACCAGGATGGTCTCGATCTCTTGACCTTGTGATCCGCCCGCCTCGGCCTCCCAAAGTGCTGGGATTACAGGCTTGAGCCACCGCGCCCGGTCCGCATATGTTATTTTATAACAAACTATTTCAAGATGAAATCTGGAAGCATCGGAAAACCTTTTAAGTGCCCCTTTATGTGGTAAAAGAAACTGTAGAACAGGAAACTTACATTTTACCCTGTTAGAGTTTGTAGTTGGGCCCTACAAATTAAACTGACAAAAGACAGATCAATAGGGAAAAATATTTATTGTTATATATATGCATGTGGCAGCCTTCACAGAAAGGGAGTAAATACCCAAGGAGGCAGACAGACATGGGGGTTTGTATACCATTTTAAAGAGGGGGTCGTTTCCTAGGGGAGTAAGTTGTGGGAAGGAAAATATATGGAGTAAACTAATGGAAGATAAGAATTATCTAAAACGGTCTTGTGTGCAGGTTCAAGTCCACTCAGGTGGCAAGAATTGTCTCTGGGGGCCATTCTCCTCTTCCGGTATAACCAAGGAGGACATCTTTACCAAGGGAAGTGTCTTTTATAAATGGAAGTTTTTGTTCGTTTTTGTTGCTTTTCTTCAGAAACTTTTACCATTTTCAGTGCTTTTTCTGTGTCTGCTGTTTCTCAAAATAATTCTTACAGCCAAGTGGCATATTTTTGGGGAGGAATATTCTGGTTCCTTATATAACATCGTATAAACCAAAAGGTATCTGAGATAGCTCTCAATCAATTTAGAAAGTTTATTTTACCAAGGCTAAGGATGCACCCGTGACACAGCCTGAGAAGGTCCTGGCAACATGTGCCTAAGGTGGTTGGGGTACCACTTGCTTTTATACATTTTAGGAAGACATAAGATATCAATCAATATGTGTAAGATGTACGTGGATTCAGGCCGGTAAAGCAGGACAACTCAAAGTTGGGGCTTCCAGGTTAGAAGAGGAGTGGAGACAAAAGGTGGCATTATTTTGAGTCCTTGATCAGCCTTCCACTGAATAGACAATCTAGTCTGGTAAAGTGAATCTGCATTTTTACATATACAATGGGGCGGAGGGAGCAATCAGATACACATGTGTCTCAGGTGAGCCTCAGAGGGATGACTTTGAGTTCTCTGTATCCTTTGTCCACAAGAAATTTCCTTGTGGAAATATTGTAATGGAGGTTTGCAGCTTTTTCTTCTAGCTATCTTATTTAGGAATAAAATGAAAGGCAGGTTTGCCTCACATAGTTCCCAGCTTGACTTTTCCTTGGCTTAGTGGTTTTGGGGTACTGAGATTTATTTTCCTTTCACAATCCTTTGAAAGATGTCTGGTTTACTTGATTGCCTAGAAAATATTTTGCCCTTGGACTGGGTGAGGTGGCTCACTCCTGTAATCCCAGCACTCAAGGAGGCTGAGGTAGCTGGATCACCTGAAGTTAGGAATTTGTGACCAGCTTGGCCAACATGGTGAAACCCTGTCTTTAATAAAAATACATACAAAAAACTAGCTGGTCATAGTGGCACATGCCTGTAATCACAGCTACTCAGGAGGCTGAGGCAGGAGAATTGCTTGAACTCAGTAAGCGGAGGTTACAGTGAGCAGAGATCGCACCACTGAACTCCAGCCTGGGTGACAGTGCAGGACTCCATCTCAAAAAAAAAAAGTTTTGCTCTAGGAGTATTTACATTTTGGGGGGCTTAGAACATAATTCATCAAAATATGGCATCTTTGTATGCCGAGTACTTTGAACTAAAGGAGTTGGGAGAACATCAGAAGCAAGGTCTTTCTGACCTCTTCCGGTCCTACGGTCTCCTGCCGTTTCTCCGCTGGGAGTCATAGAAACCAGAAGGTCTCTTTCCCAAAGCAGATCATGGAAACTACAACTCCTCTCCCCCAAAGCAAGCCTTAAAACCTAGAAAGTCACTGTCCCTTCTCCCTTGAAGACTTTCATTCCAAAGGCGTCCTGCCATACCTGGGAGGATGGGACGCTACGCAGAGAGGCGGGGAAGAATCTGAACAGACAAGTCGTGCTGTTTCTTCAGTACTGTCTCTGCCTAATCACATTTCTAAATGTCTCTATTCCTCATTGGAGGTACCTATGAAAACAGACAGTTTTCCTTGGGTCTTTGGAGCTTCATTTCTGAAGTCTCCAGTGTCAGGTAAAACTTTGATTAGCTCCATTTTTCTCATGCTTTTCATTTGTTAACCTCTTTTTTGTTATAGTTCAAGCTGTGAACCTTTGGGTCTCACACCTTTCTGTGCCCTACAACATTGATATTTGTGTTTTTCAAAGGTGTACATTCTTTTTTTTTTTTTTTTTTTTTTTTTTTTTTCTTGAGATAGGATCTTGCTCTGTCACCAAGGCTGGAGTGCTATCTTCCCACCTTAGCCTCCCCAGAACCTGGTACTACAGATACGAGCCACCACCCATGCCCAACTACTTTTTGTATTTTTTTTTTAGAAATGGGGTTCCACCATGTTGCCCAGGCTGGTCTCAAACTTCTGGGCTCAAGCGATCCACCTGCCTCAGCCTTACAACCTGCTGGGATTACAGAGGTGAGCCGCCACATACCGCCCCTTGTGAATTCTCTATGTTAAATCAGATACTTTTAAAATTTTCTTCTCCTACCAGTATGGAAACAAATAGATTTCTTAATTTTAAAAGCAAGTTTATTTCATTTAAAGTAAGTACCTTTCGAATGGCTCTTTTTGGTTTTCCTCACTTACAATAATGTTAATTGACAAGACAGTTGCTCAGTATATCCCTACTGGTTAATTGAGATACATTGTGTATTTTTTTTTTCTACATTAAAAAAGAGTTGTATTGCCTGAGGCAAGCAGATCACTTGAGACTAGAAGAGCAAAACTAGCCTGGCCAACTTTTAGTGGAGAGCAAGTGAAACCTCGTCTCTACTAAAAACACACACAAAATTAACCCGGCATGGTGGCCTGTGATTATAATCTGTTACTCAGGAGGTTGAGGCAAAAAAATCACTTGAACTCAGAAGGCAGAGGTTGCAGTGAGCCAAGAGTGCACTATTGCACTCCAGCCTGGGCGACAGAGCAAGAAAAGAAAATGTTGTACTTCTAGCATCCTTCAAGATTGACTAGAAGAAAAAGAAAACAAAAGAAAGAAATAAAAGAAATGGGCCGGGTGCGGTGGCTCATGCCTGTAATCCCACCACTTTGGGAGGCTGAGGTCTGGCACAAGATCAGTTTATCAATCTGGGTGGTGCCCGCTGACTCATCAAGTGCTGATTTTAGGAGCAGTAGGCAGGATCTGCATCTTGTAGCCCCCAGCTGCCTGACTCCTAAACCATAGTTTCAAATCCTGTGGCTAATGTTTGCATCTAGTCCCCAGGCAAGAAGGAGGTCTGCCCTGGGAAAGAGCTGTTATAGGTCTTTTTTTTTTTTTTTTTCTTTTGAGACGAGAGTCACTCTGTCACCCAGGCTGGAGTGCAGTGTGGCACAAAGCAGTGCAATCTCGGCCCTCTGCAACCTCTGCCACCTGGGTTCAAGTGACTCTCCTGCCTCAGCCTCCCAAGTAGCTGGGATTACAGATGCCTGCTACCACACCTGGCTAATTTTTGTAGTTTTAGTAGAGACGGAGTTTCACCATCTTGGCCAGTCTGACCAACTCCTGACGTCGTGATCCACCCAATTTGGCAACCCGAAGTGCTGGGATTATAAGCATGAGCCACTGCACATGCCCAGCCTACAGTCTTTTAAACTATAAACTAAGTTTCTCCCAAAGTTAGTTCAGTCTACGCCCAGCAATGAACATTTGGTCAGGCTGCCCTCGAACTTTTCACTAGGTTGAACATCATTATGATCAGAAAACATTTCTTTTTACTGATGCATATGAGAGAAACTGGTAATAATTATTCCTTTAGATTTGCTGTATTTCTTTAACATTTAGTAGTCTTAAAGCTATGCCAAGCAATCTAAACTAATAACTATGTAACTGTTTTGCCCAGGCTGATCTCAAACTTCTGGGCGCAGCAAAACCTCTTTCCATAGCCTCCCAAAGATGGAGAGTATGAGCCACCATACCCAGCCTGACACCTTTAAAGCTCTAAAAAAGGGACATTTACCATCTATTTTTTCTGAGAACTGCTACCTGTGGGGTTTCACCCACACAACAAGACTGCCCCTTGCTAGCCAAGCCTTTCTCTCCCTCCCATTATGTTTCGCCAGGATCCAACTTTGCATACCTCAAGGTGGTATATAAAGTTACGTGCCTCATTGGCGGGTGGGTCTTCATTTCTAAACTTCCCGTGTCTATGTGCTAAATACACTTGCATGCCTTTTGTAGTAATCAACCAGTCTCACATCAGCAATTTCCAGCGAGCTTCCAGGGGGCCAAAGCCAGTACCCTTTTCAAAGTACAGGCCCAAACAACGGCATGAGCAGGAAGGAATTCACACCTTGTACATAGATTTGCTGATCTTTCCTCGAGAGTGAGAGCTTTAGCATTCCCTATACCCAGAGAAATACCATCTTAAAGACAAAGAGTTTCCCACTGTCTTACAGTTGCAGTTAAGACACTTCAACCTGTGGTGTAACAGCTATTTCCAGTGAGAACCTAAGTGGCTCTGAAAAGAGCCTTTGGAAGTAGAAATCCACGCTAGAGCAGGAGATTACGCTCGCTCGCCACGGATGCGGCGCGCGAGCTGGATGTCCTTGGGCATGATAGTCACCCGCTTGGCGTGGATGGCGCACAGGTTGGTGTCCTCGAAGAGCCCCACCAGGTAGGCCTCGCAGGCCTCCTGCAGCGCCATCACCGCGGAGCTCTGGAAGCGCAGGTCGGTCTTGAAGTCCTGCGCGATCTCGCGCACCAGGCGCTGAAACGGCAGCTTTCGGATCAGGAGCTCGGTGGACTTCTGGTAGCGGCGGATCTCGCGCAGGGCCACGGTGCCGGGCCGGTAGCGGTGCGGCTTCTTGACGCCGCCGGTGGCCGGCGCGCTCTTGCGGGCCGCCTTGGTGGCCAGCTGCTTGCGCGGAGCCTTGCCGCCCGTGGATTTGCGGGCCGTCTGCTTAGTTCGGGCCATAGTGGAGGAAGCTTCGCTCTCACAGCAAGCAACTGAGCGAGTAGTGGCTTCTGCCGGAATTTATAACGGTGACCTCATCCTGATTGGTCAGAACTCTTGTAGGAATAACCTGATTGGTTCTTAGTACAATCTTCATTTGTTCCTGCCACGCCCTTTTTCTTTTCTTTTTTTTTTTTGTAAGAGTCTTATTCTGCTAAGGGTGGAGTGCAGTGACCCTACCTCAGCTCACTGCAACCTCCGCCTTCTGGATTCAAGACTACAGGCACTTGCCATGACGCCTGGCTACTTTTTGTTTTTAGTCTATAGAGACGGGGGTTTCACCACGTTGCCCAGACTGGTCTCAAACTCCTGACCTCAAGTGAATCGTCCGCCTCAGCCTCCCAAAGTGCTGGGATTACAGGCGTAAGCCACCGCGCCCGTCCTCCCTGCCAGTTTTATTTTATTTATTGTTTTTAACCAATCATGTTAAAATTCCCCCAATAAAAAGAGAATCTGACCTAGAACTTGTGTAAGTCAGTCGTAGTCTTAAACTCCGTTTCCAATAGATCATTTTTCCTATTTCGGTATTGTGTAAAAATATATACAGTAGAACAATGTATTTGTTAGTATTTCCAAATAGTAGTTCCGTTTTGTAACTGCTTCTTTAAATCCTTTAGTGACCATACCAAGACCCAGAACAAAAACAGATTAAACTTAGGCTAGCACATTGTCCCCTAAAACACCAAAGCCTTAGTTTTGCCCAGCGTGGTGTGGGGAAGGAGTGTGGTGGGTGCTTAACCAAACGATACCAATGAATGGTTCCTGACATTTTCATTGATTGAGTTTAACGCAGTCCAATGGCTGATTGGATTATGTAAATCATTGCTTAATTTAATTAGCATGTTCCGGATGATAGGTTTGGGTCAGTGATTAGATTTTTGTCAGTGAATCTGGGTAGTTCTGATAATACCATTTTTTTAGGACGGAAATTTTAATGGTAATCAAAGCACCACCAGGCTCTGGTACTGATAAAGACGCATAAAAACAACAAAAAGGTTGGCTTAACCTTTCTTATAGTCATAGGAGCAAATAATCACTAGAAATAACTTTTGATTGGGTTTTGTTTTTCCTTTTGAGACGGAGTCTCGCTCCGTCGCCCAAGCTGGAGCTCACTGAAACCTCAAACTCCTGGGGCTGAAGTGGTAATTCTGCTCTGGTGATCCACGAGGGTCATCACGGCAGTTTTTTTTGTTTTTTTTGTTTTGTTTTGTTTTGTTTTGTTTTCCCAAGAGGGAGGGATCTCGCTATGATCAAGGTGATCTCGAACTCCACGCCCCAAGAGATTTCTTCCCTCCCCACCCACCTACCTGGTTTTCCAAAGTGCTGAGACTACTTGCGTAAACCACAGCGCCCGGCCCCAAAATGTTCTTTAAAGATCCAGGAGAAGGATCTGGAGAGGAGACAATAAACGAGAGTGCTTCCATGTTATTATGATGTAGCAATTCTGTTTTCGTTTTACCTGTACATGTCAAGGACTATAACGTAGCAATTTAACAGTGTTTACTAGGCCTGAGTCAATACTCATGTTTTACCCAATAGGAAACTAATGACCTCACGTACGTAAACTCGGCCACGAATTCCTGAGAGGTTCGAACAGAGTGCTCAGTTCTTCCGCAGAAATGGTGGGTGGCTCTGAAAAGAGCCTTTTGTCTTACAAATTTACATTTTTAAAGTTCAGCCCTTATTTGCCCTTGGCCTTGTGGTGGCTCTCGGTCTTCTTGGGCAGCAGCACGGCCTGGATGTTGGGCAGGACGCCGCCCTGCGCGATGGTGACCTTGCCCAGCAGCTTGTTGAGCTCCTCGTCGTTGCGGATGGCCAGCTGCAGGTGGCGCGGGATGATGCGGGTCTTCTTGTTGTCGCGGGCCGCGTTGCCCGCCAGCTCCAGGATCTCGGCCGTCAGGTACTCCAGCACCGCCGCCAGGTAGACCGGCGCGCCGGCCCCGACCCGCTCGGCGTAGTTGCCCTTGCGGAGCAGGCGGTGCACGCGGCCCACGGGGAACTGGAGCCCGGCCCGGGAGGAGCGGGTCTTGGCCTTGGCGCGGGCTTTGCCGCCCTGCTTGCCGCGTCCAGACATGGTAAAGCAACCAGTGATCTAAGTCCGAAGTGACTGGAAGAAAACTGCAGGAACGCGCTTTTATATCAGCTGCTGGGCGCGAAAAAGAAGCTGTGTCATTGGCTAAGCTGGCAGTTCCCTCTTAAACGATGCAAATCAGGTTTCTCAGTATACGTGTTTTGATTGGACTATACTGATATTGGCATCATATGGGTAACTTCCAATCAGACAGAGGAGTTTCTCAATCTCATCTGCATATGGAATTGGAAATAAATACGGCATAACCCGGCTCGTCTTCATTCTTTGAGCTCGTCCTCATTCTTCGTTTCTCGAGTGCTCTTTCACTGTCCTCCGCTATGCCAGACCCGGCCAAGTCCGCTCCCGCCCCGAAGAAGGGCTCCAAGAAGGCGGTGACCAAGGCGCAGAAGAAGGACGGCAAGAAGCGCAAGCGCAGCCGCAAGGAGAGCTACTCCGTGTACGTGTACAAGGTGCTGAAGCAGGTCCACCCCGACACCGGCATCTCCTCCAAGGCCATGGGCATCATGAACTCCTTCGTCAACGACATCTTCGAGCGCATCGCGGGCGAGGCTTCCCGCCTGGCGCATTACAACAAGCGCTCGACCATCACCTCCAGGGAGATCCAGACGGCCGTGCGCCTGCTGCTGCCCGGGGAGCTGGCCAAGCACGCAGTGTCCGAGGGCACCAAGGCCGTCACCAAGTACACCAGCTCCAAGTGAGCCCCTCCCAGCTGCTGACAATCCAAAGGCTCTTTTCAGAGCCACTCAACACTTCCAGAAAAAGAGCCGGAACATATTGCTTGTAGGCGTCTGGGTGGGCTCCAGCCGGCATCCATTAGGAGGGAACATGGGAAAAGGGAAACCAAGCTCCCGCCAGGCAAACGTAGTTTGGGTTTTTGGATATACTTTGGGGGGAAAGGCTTGCAGTTGTGCTTTCAGCAACGAGTTTACGTTACTCTTCAAGTGCCAATAGCAAGCCCGTTCTCTGACTGGGCAGCGCCCGATTTGAAAAGCCCGCCAAGGGCTGCGATTTGCCAGTCTCTTCCGGGCTGTGTTTTTCCAAGACGTCTGGGAATGGAAATGAATTTTCCGTTCTGTGCAGCAGTGCATCGGGATCCGGCGCCCAGAGCCGTTACCGTCCCACTGCCTGCAGCAGAACGGATCCCGGGCGAGACTGACTTGCCGGCGTCCTTTTTCCATGCACTGGGGAATAGGCATTGTAGCATCATCGTGTCTGCCATCGCCGCAGATATGTTAGGATGAGCTGAAAGTATTGAAGGTAAAGCGGGACGGAAAGCTCCTTTAAGATAAAACATTGAACAAAGAACCCGGCAACTTGGGAAAATCACATTTTTACAATGTTCGATGTTAATCAGTCGGCTTTGGGGAGGAAGGTACGCCAGGAGGAGGGGGGAACACGGGCGGGGGGCAGTGTTCAGGCTGAGATTTTAGTCCGTGATTAGGAATCCTGCGACAGAAGTTCGAGAACCCCGCGTTTGAAGAGAAGCGGACGCCAGAAAAGATCACAGAAATAGGATGTAAACCAAGAGCGTGGGATAGTTACGAATTCAAGGGAATGGAGACCTGAATTCTCATGGCATTGCATCCTCTGCCACTGCGTAGTCCCCCGTCAATGAATTATTTCTATTGTAATTCTTTCCATTAACAGCAAAATAGCAAGCCCCTCCACCACAATTCCCCTTCAGGCTTTAGAATCACCCCTTAAGTTTTCCTTTCTTTTCCTGCGGTCTCTTCCCTTACAGCTGTGGGTGGAAGGCTATCTCCGACGAATAGTCTCGTCTCTGTCACAGGCGACAAATAGCCTCGAAATTATGCCAATTGGTCAGTGGGTCATGCAGAATACATTACAGGATTAGCCGTTCACTTCCCTAAAATGTTCTCCCCAGTCCCTGTACCTTGGCGCCTCGGGCTGGGCGACAGAGATCGACAAGCAAAGCTCCTTGGAGACCAGTCCCCTAATTTCATCATGTTCCTTAAGTTGGCATCACATTCGTCCCCTCCCTTCGTTCCTCTTTGCTCTCTTTTTCGAGATGGTTCCTCCCTACCCATCCCGCATCCTTGAGAACACCTGAGGGGCATTAGCCTCGGAGTGAGTGAGAGCCTATGTGACCCTCGCCTGCCATCTTGTGGCAAAAAAGCAGAAGTTGAAGGCGTTGCGTTTTCCAGCCCCAGTTAAAACGCTTTCTTCCTTTCTACTACGCCAGTGGACTAGGGTAGGGTTTCCATTTCTCACCTCTTTGAATTGCACAATTTAAGTTTCTCCAAGAGTCGTTAGTGCGGAGGTTAAAAGTGGGGTGAGAAGGGAGTGGGGGAGGTGAATAGGAAGAGCGAGGAGTGGGTACGGGAGAAAGTCCCGTTAAGTGTTGTGATCTGGTCAGAGATATCCAAAAGAAGTAAACAGAAAAGCCAAAATGCTTTGTACTCAAAAATAAATAATAATAGGGTCATGCTCTCTAGTTCTGTTGGACTAAGTCCCCACCCCTACAATTCCATTTAACCTTAATCATCTCTTTAAAGGCCCTGTCTTCAAATACCAACCACACTGAGGGTTGGAATTTCAACATGAAGTTTTTTTGTTTTGTTTTTTTGAGACAGGGTCTCACTCTGTCGCCCAGTCTGGAGTGCAGTGGTACAGTCTCAACTCACTGCAACTTCCACCTCCTGGGTTCAAGTGATTGTTCTGCCTCAGCCTCCTGAGTAGCTACGACTACAGACACCTGCCACCATGCCGCACTAATTTAGGTGTTTTTAGTATAGATGGGGTTTCAGCATCTTGGCCAGGCTGGTCTCAGACTCCTCATCTCAAGTGATCCCACCTGCCTCAGCCTCCCAAAGTGCTAGGAATACAGGCAAGCGCTAGGATTGCCGGCACCTGGCCTAAGTTTTACGGACAACATGAAGTCCGTAGCAGCACTTTGCCAAGTCGGGGAAAAGGTGGTTTTCCCAAGTCGCCTTGAACTTCTGCTTTTTGGCCACAAGATGGCAGGCGAGGGTCACATATGTTCTCGCCCACTCTGAAGCTAATGCCCCTCAGGTGTTCTCAAGGATGTGGGATGGGTAGGGAGGAACCATCTCGAAAAAGAGAGCAAAGAGGAACGAAGGGAGGGGACAAAAAAAAAGACCATTTTCCAAGCTTCGATCCCAACCTTCGATTCCAGGTCCCCCTTTATAAAATACCTACATTTACCTTAATTTGCAGATAAGATCACAGTTATGACATTCCTTAAACCAGAAGCTAAAACTCAGTTGCTCACAAAGGCCCAGCACATTAGAGCAAAAACGGCTGGATATTAAAAATCATGACCTACCTCTATAAAGACAGGTGGTTTTTGCCATTTTTCTTGAAGCACACAGACTTCTGACACCATATTTCATTTTTCCAGTTTTGACAGATAATTGACCAAGACTTATGTCACTGTTTTCTTAATTCTGCTGTAAGAACCGCCATAGCACAAGCATGTTGATAAATGCCAGCCAGTATGGAAACTAACAGTCAGTGGGAAGTTAAGAACTAAAGACAAAAACCTTTGCAATTTGGTTGCCCTGATTTCTCCCTTTTAGCAATGCGAGCACAGGGACAGTGTGTCTTCCAATTTTTCTAGAGTATATGCAGCTTAAGATAAAATATAAATTTTCAATACTGACAGCTAATAAAAAATTTATATCATGTTACAGACTATTAAAAAAAAAAGTCTGCTGACTTCATGAAGCCCTTCATCCTTGAAGTTGAGATCTCTGGATATTAACAAAGATTCCTGTAGCCATGACAAGCTTTTCACCACGCTGCGTTTTCTGCCATCAAGGCCCAGATCAAATGCCCAGGCTGAAAAGAATTAATTCCTCACTTGGCCCCTCTGGATAGAGCATCAGGCCTCACATACATTGGGCATTCAAGAGCTATTTTCTGCGAGTTAAGTAAACAGATACAATGAACTAGAAATACAAAAAATTCAGTGCTCACAGCTATGAGGTAAAAGAGGTGAAAGATGTTTGGAGTTGTTTATTGTGGATTGAGTAGTTATCTGGGTAAATAAACCTGTTCTTTTCTATTTGTTACATTTGTCTTATTTTTTATTAATGTTATTCTTCGTGGGGGTGGGAGCTTCCCAGCAAAAACTGGAAGACCTGCTAGTAGACAAATTCTAAAAGAGCTGTAACACTGTTTTCTGTTAATATTCTTAATTGACAAATCATAACTGTATACATTTTTGGAAGACAGTGTGATGTCTTGATATATTGTTGGGGCTCAGAAAACTATAACCGGAAATGAAGATGTCAGCAGCAGCAGCAGCAGCAGCAGCAGCAGAAGTTTGACTATAGGTCGTAAGACCTCTAATCCAGAGAGGGACCTGCCCCATACCCAGAAAGAAGGAATGCTGCTCAGGCCAAGAAGAATCTGGACAGAGAGGCCTTGCTGAGTTTTTCTACGCCGTGTATTAGCATGAGATCCTACCCTTCATGTCCAATCATATTTCTACAAGGCTGTTCATACTTTATGGAACTTTTTTAAAAAATAGACAATTTCCTCCTGTATCTTTAGGTCTTCATTCTGAAGGGCTCCCATGTCATGTACATCTATGATCAAATAATTTTTTTCTCATATTAATATGCCTTTAGTCAGTGATTTTCAGCAATCCTTCAGAGGGTGAAGGGGAAGTTTTCCGTTACCTCTGTAATGTAATTCAAGGAATCTTTTTTTTTTTTTTTTTTTTTTTTGAGACGGAGTTTCGCTCTTGCTGCCCAGGCTGGAGTGCAATGGCGCGATCTCGGCTCACCGCAACCTCCGCCTCCTGGGTTCAGGCAATTCTCCTGCCTCAGCCTCCTGAGTAGCTGGGATTACAGGCACGCGCCACCATGCCCAGCTAATTTTTAGTATTTTTAGTAGAGACGGGGTTTCACCATGTTGACCAGGATGGTCTCGATCTCTTGATCTCGTGATCCACCCCCCTCGGCCTCCCAAAGTGCTGGGATTACAGGCTTGAGCCACCGCGCCCGGCCAGCTTTCACTTTATTTCTGAGGCTTGTATGCAACGGCACAATCCCGGCTCACTGCAATCTCCACTTCCCAAGATCAAGCCTCATGCTCCCAAGTAGCTGGGACCACAGGTGTGCACCACCATGCCCAGCTAATTTTGTACTTTTTGTAGAAGGGATTTCGCCATGTTGGCCAGGCTAGTCTGGAACTCCTGGGCTCAAGTAATCCACCCACCTCGGCCTCCGCAAGTGCTTTTCAGGCGTGAGCCACTGTGCCTGGCCCCTAACCTATATAGTGTATGCTGAAGGAATCCAGGAAATACCAGCCCAAAGCATGCAGCGTTCTTATGCTGATTACCTCAACTAAAGTCACTTGGGAAATAGTAGATGCACAGAGGGGCTTTTTCTGAATCTCCTTTGTTTGACTAAATGCATATTCTCCAGGAGGAGGAGGTCAATTAGTCTTGAAAATCCTTCCTAGATTTCCTAGATTAACAGCAACAGAAGTGGAACCGAGAAGAGACTAGAAGTTAGCTCCTCATCCAGATAGGCCACTATCTATTCTTCTGAAAGCCCATTCCTGTTTTCGGTACCGTACACCTCCTACGGTCCCTCAGACTGCCCTTTCGCCTTACTCTTCTATTTCAGTACAGAAAGAACTTAGGTTGTAGAGAGTTGATAAAATGCTGAAAGATTTCAGGTGATGCATGTGGAAAGGAGGCGGCGA